AGAGAGAGAGAGAGAGAGAGAGAGAGAGAGAGAGAGAGAGAGAGAGAAATATATATTAATAAGGGAATAAATTTTATCCGTTTCTGGTTCTGCGTTCGAAAGTTGTAGTTTCACGCGACCTCCCAAATTTGATAAGCAAGATGTATCGGGTTTCGCACAGGCGATGAGATTCGAGACATTTTTTTAAATTAATCCTCAAAGGTTGGGATATTAACATACTTCCTCCAATGCTCCACGAATTACCAGTATCTTTCGAAATATTCGCCAAGGAATACACGGTGTAACGTCTCCTGTTAGCGATCTTTGCTAGGGAAAATAATATTTTTCTCTTTTCTCGACCGAAAAGATTCGTCGTTTGGACCGTTATTCGCACGTGTCGTTTCGCGATAAAAAGAAAAGAATGGTTCCCACAGCGCTCTTGATTGGTTTATGCAACATCGGCTAGACCAGGGTCGCGGTGAAGTTGTCGTGCAAAAGCTCGTCGACTGCCACGAGCCAGCAGCACCGGGCGTGAGAAAAACACGTGGAGTGTGACTGACTCGTTCAAGTTTCCCTCCTTCTCTAGCGCGATCTCTATTTATATTTCCGCAAGGTTGCAACGCCCGGCACGACACGCACCCAGGCATGCGTGCGAGTACGCAGATCGCGTTGCGAAACGATTTATTTATCGTTGTCCCTCGTCAAGGCCTTCGATGAGGTGGTTGCGAGACACTTTTCGCGGTCCAACAGGTGAGACATCCGCCGTGACTGCGGGCCTCCTTGCGTAAGCCCACTTTTTCGGGCAATTGTACGTTTCCGTGTAGCAACGGTAGCAATGGTTATTAAGCAATAATACCAAGTCGATACTCTTAGTAAAAAGGCTTATTCGAAAAATTAGTTGCAGAGCAACGTAACCTGTGCAAAGCAACGAGTCACTTGGCTTCGGAATAATCCACTCCCTAGGTTTCTAGCTCTCGTAACGAATAGAATGAGGATTTAGAAAAAAAAGTTTGGACTTTCGAATAGAACTATAGAACGTGCTGTTCTCCACGTGACCGTTCCAAAAATCCAGCTAAGAACTTTTGAATCGTCGAATCACTTGCGGGCGGATTCCTTTGCTGGATCATTCAAAAATGATGATGAATTTGTGGCTCTGTTCGGTCTTGTTGGGGCATCGATCGCGTCTGGTACAGGGTGGCAGGACGGTCCGGCGCCGGGGTGGCGTCCCGGTGGTGGGGAAAGTGCACTCCAAGTGCAAGCAGTCCCTATATGCAATTGGCTGGAAATTGCATCGTTGGAGGGGATGCCTGAGGGAAGAGAGAGAAAGAGGGGTCACGGAAGGGGAAGGCAAGTGCA